ATCCTATCAATATGGGCCAACATTTGTAAAGAATGCTTTCAGCACATTTTTTTGAATCAATGCCACGTAGAATTAAGGCAGTTCTGAAAGTGAAATGGGGTCAAACACAGTATTAGGATGGTGTTCCTAATAATCCTTTAGGTGAGTGTATATAAATGGCAATCTTTGTCTTCAGGTCACGTTTCTGAGAATCTTTCCTATACGACTCTAATGAGCACACAGCTCATTCCGGATCACACCCATGCAGTCTCATTTCTTTGCAAGAAGGCAAACACAATGCTTTCTATTGCCTTCAATAACTAGTCCATTTGTTATACCATTTTCAGGCCTATTGTTCCTTTTGCTCAGCGGTTGGGCACGGAAATGGATTCTTGGTCAAACCGCTGTTATTAATGAACTTGACTGAGCAGAGCTGGCGGATGAAAATGAGAATGAGAGACTAAGATGAAAATTGCTTTCAGAAACTTAAGGCCTCCCCATTGATATGTGCCTTCTTCCAGCTCTGTGATTAGAAGCATTAACTTAATGTGAGCCTAATCAAATATTTATGGAGCACAGACACACGCCAGTGTGTATAAATTCATTTTGCCCGTGTTTGTGTCCAAAAATTAATCATTCGATCAGAAAAGACATTAGCTTTGATTACATTACTCATTTATATTTGACCAACAGGGCTTGAGAATGAATGAAGTCTGACAGAAGAGAGGAGGACTCAAGTAGACCAGAAGGAGGCTTTGAACCGATCAGAGACGTTGTATCGAGGCTGGTGTTCATCGATTTACCCACTTCTAAGGAAATTGACGGACTCGTTCAGAGCCAGGGTCCATTATGGCTCTCAGGAATGGAGACTTTTTTTGAAAACAATTTATAATTTTTAAGTTACGATAAAAAAAAAATAAGATTACTGCTTAAACCCTTGATATTTGGAAAGCTGTAATGGTTTTGCCTCACTATTCGGATTCACCAAGGATCATCGGTTCAAGGAGAATACAGAAATATCACATCTTTTCCACATCTAATGGCAAAACTCTATTTCTAGTTATAAAAACATTAAAGGGTTAGTTCACCCAAAAATGAAAATTAAGTCATTAATTACTCGCCCCCATGCTGTACCAACCCCGCATGCGTCGTGGAAATCTAAGGAAGTCTCGTTTCAGGCCAACAAGGAAGAAAATAAATAGTCGAATAAAGTCGTTATTTTTGTTTGTTTTTTCGCACAAAAAGTATTCTCGTCGCTTGATAAACTTATAGTTGAGCCACTGTAGTCACATGGGATATTTAAACATTTTCTTCATTGACTTTCTGGGCGGTCAAGAGCCAGTCCCTTAGGCAGCCAATGTGGTAGTTATACAGCTCTCAAATTCAATAAAAAATATCTTCATTTGTGTTCCGAAGATGAACGAAGGTCTTACGGGGTTGGTACAACATGGGGGTGAGTAATTAATGACTTAATTTTCATTTTTGGGTGAACTAACCCTTTAAAATGATCTCTCTGATACATGATGTCTGCCACTTAACTATTCATTGTGATATTTCATTGAGCATTGCAAAGGGAATTCTATACACAAATATAAAGAAAATTAGAAAGTAACAGAAAATACATAACAAACATTTGAGTACAAAGGACGGCAAAGAGAAGAGACGGCAACATGACGAGAAAAAGTGTGAATAAAACAAAAATGAACAAAAAATATACTTATTGTTGGTTGATTGAAAAATAGGACTGCATCAAAAGGATGCATACTCATGTTTCTAAATGATTATTATAGCATTTAGGAACCATTTGTGAATCAATACACTTCAAGTGTGGTGCATTTTTGGTTATTTTTCAGCATGATTTCATCTTTGCAGTCTTAGAAGAAAAGGTTCTATATATAACCTTAAAAGGTTCTATCAGCGCTATGTATTTGGAACCCCTAAAAGGTTCTATACACTCTTAAAAAAAGGGTTCCTCTGGGTTCTATATAGAACCTTGGGGTTCCATACTTGGCCAATAGCACCTTTTACCAAAAAAAAAAACATGGTTCTATAGAACCATTTTGGAGTTCCATATATGAAGCGGGGGATGGAACCATTTCCGGTTCTAAATAGAACCATTTCTTCTAAGAGTGTATAGAACACTGAAACGCAGTGTAATTATGGCCAAAGATACTCACCTGCTTCAAGAGCTTGTTTTCTTTCACTCATGATTTGGAGAATTCGGATTATTCATAAAAGTTATTTTAATACTGCATGTTCAATCTATGTGGAACTCCAATCTCTTTTAAATGTTAATACAACTGAATAAACATTTTGTTTCACTTGTCATAAAGTGGATTAATAGGCACTTATGATGTGTCAGGAGAATGTAAAGAATGCTGCTCAACAAGTGTAGTCTTCAATGTAAATATCAGCATGATTAAGCAAACTTTTCTGTTCTCCCTCAAACACAACCACTGCCAAAACGTTATTTGCTTACGGGCCAATTTGCACATTGACTTATTTTTCAAAGCAAGAATTCTAATAGCCTAGCATAGATTCCAAATCTATAAAATAATATCAACAATTAGAATTCTACACATGTTAGTCTTTCAATTTCTATACAAAAGGGGAGCAATTACATGTAGGAATAATTTTGCATGCAAATGTAATGGACCATGTAACGAGGCTGTGAAATACATTCTTGTTTTGTAAAGAAATTTTGCCAAATAAATCACTGTAGAACGTTATTAGTGGTTTTGGGTTGTTTTATGAGTGTGTGTGACAACCTTTGCTAGCATCATCTTCTCACCCTCAGTTGTTCCAAACCTGTATGAATTGTGTTCAAAACAACAACTAAACAGTTGATGGACCCCATTCCGTCCATATTTTTAAAATCTATTTTACTATGGAAGTCAATGAAGTCCATCAACTGTTTGGTTACCCATATTCTTCAAAATAGTTTCTTTTTTGTTCGGAAGAAGAAAGAAATTAATACAGGTTTGGAACGAAGGTGATTTGATGATGACTGAATTTAAATTTTTAGATGGCGTATCCCTTTACACTCTAAAAATGCTGGGTTGTTTTAACCCAATTTTGGGTCAAATATAGACAAACCCAATTTTTGGATTAAAAAAATGCAATTTTTAAATTTAACCCAACAGCTGGGTTTGTCCGTATTTGACCCAATATTGGGTTAAAATAACCCAGCATTATTTAGAGTTCAGGTGGTTTTAGTGCTTTTAAATGTGAAATTAACTGCTGTGCCAAGTTGAATGTTGGTTTGGAGGACTGTGTGAAGTGTTTGAAATAGGCTAGTGTATCGAGAAATGTGTCAAAAAGTAAAGTAAAAAAAAAAAACCCTGTAACAATCAATAATACTGTAACTAAACTGTTAATAGACTTTTAATTTTGTTTTTGCCACTAGAGGGAACACTCTTTAGCTAATTGACTGACTCTCTTTGTTTGACTGTGATGAAGTGTCAAAACTAAAAGGTCTGAATTAGATCTATGATAAGTGTTGTCTGTATTGCAATGTTCTATGCTCATTAAGAATGAAGCCAACACGATTTTATTGACTGAGAACTCATCTCTCAACACCACGACTTTCTCCAACATAACTTTTGTGTGCTACAGCCGCAATATAGCCTATAAACAATAGTTCAAACAAAATTCAAGTACTTAGTCAAGTTAAATTCCAGTTAAAGTTTGGGCCTATTTGTTGTTCAGCTCATTTCTGTCTAGTGTAAAATATGAAACTGTCCCTCTGGAAGCAAAGTGTGACATTTGTGTTGCCATAAACAAATGTTTTGGGGTTGCATTTGCATGTTCTGAACCATGATGAAACTATCTAGACTGTAAGATACGGGAGTGGAGAACATTTCCCCCTGTTAGACAACAAATGAGCACATAAAGACTTCACAATCACTTATATTATTCCTAAAACTGTCTGACAGCTGTATCTCAACAAAATCATGGCACTCCAACGTTATTGTTCATCCTCCATATCTGATATTATTTATTGAGCTTTAGAAGAGACAGATCATTTGACAGATTTTGTATTATTGGGATTTAAGATAAACCACCGATAGGAGGCTTTCAGAATTGTGTCAATGACTTATTAAGATGATTGTTAGAATAATTAAGATTCGTATCACGCTAACTATCATATCTGAGCCTTTTGTTTAGCGTTAAGCAAATCAGGCCATTCATCCAGTACAAAACAATACCACACCAATATCTCATACTACTAATCTTATATACTAATATCTTAGATAGGCTAATGATGGAATATGAATGAGAAATGTCTAAATGTTAACGGGTAAGCCAAATTAAGTGAAGTAGCTAAGCAAACTAAACTACACTTGAGTAGAACTGAGAAATCTAATGCTCGATGATGAGAAAATGAAAAAGTTATTTTACATTGTAAACAGACTCTGAAAAAATACTCTTTAAAATTGTTTCTATTCAGCAGTATTACACATATACTGAGTAAATCTAATTAAACACTATATTCCTCACTTAAAGTGCACATATAGCCTAACTAAATTTATGACAAGATTTCATTTGCATTAGTTAATGTGTTTACTAACATGAGCAATACATTTGTTGCTGTATTTGTTCATCTTTACGTTAGAAAGATCTAGCTTGTTTGTTCATGTTACTTCACAGTGCATGTTAAGGAATACAGTTTTTGATTGTAATAATGTAGTAGTAAACGTATTAGTAAATGTTTAGATTAACATTAACAAAGAAGCTAAATAAATGCTGTTGAAGTGCAGTTCAATATTGGCCTAGTTCATGTTAATGTAGCTAATTTTAACTAATGAAACCTTATTGTAAAGTGTTACCAAGATATTTATTGACTTATATTTTCCAAGGATAGCTAGACTGAGATCCATTTAAAGGTCAGAAAGTACTGCTGTTTGCTTGTTGCACTTCGGACACATCACACTCGTCGTTCGCTGGAGCACTGCAAGTTATGAGCTCCATTAGCCCCGCCCACTTTCGCTTTGAGTGACAGCTCACTGTGAGGCTGCAGGTGCAATCCTCCAGCTTGTCTGAGTTGTTGCGACAGAGTTGAGCTGTTTGAAACTCTGGCGTCTTCAAGTAACTAGAATGTATCTGTCGAATTAGACCCCGAGGAGTGATCTTCAACAGGTAAATCACTTTACTGTCGATTTAAAGAGGAACACGATGATGAATTTAACTGTTTAGTAAGTAAACATTTCAGAGCCGAACTTAATCACAAACTTTTCGACGCACCTCGGCGTCCGACCGTACGCAGGAAACCAATGCGTATCAGGTTTTAAAAAAAAAATAACTTAAAATTAACTAGAATATTAGGACTTCTTGTCTTTTTTTGGACTTCTTGCACTATATGTGTACATTACTTGACATTGATAGTCCTTTCCAGTGTCGCGCGCATAAACGTAAAGCATGTTAAAGTGATGCAACAGATGAATTAGAGTGATTAGATTATATTCATGGTATATTTGTGTTGTTATCTTACTCATAAAGTCGATCGTACTCTCCATTTATTAGTCACTCATCCTCCCTCATAATAATTAATAACAACCAGATATGATGTAAATGAGTTTATTCTTTCAGTTACAACATGGACTATAAACTACAATTCTGATGCCATGATAAAATAAGTGCTGCAATCTAACAAGTGTGCATGCTGTGTGCACTCATTGAAAAGTCAGGGAGTGAAATGATCATGCATTGCCACATTAATCTGACACCATTAATCTAATCACAATTTGTGTTGTCGTGCACGGTTATTCTGTCATTTATGTAATGCACAAACACATCAATCTACTGTCAACCTCTTTTTGTCTCTCTTCTGCATGCTCCATATATCAACTTGTTGCTGTTACTGTTGAGTATTATGGGATTTGATGCAGTTTTGCTGTCTCTTTTTGTGCGTTAAGACAAAACCCTATATCACAAAATCACTAATTCTATTCAACTAATGTAAATAGCTGCTGGTGTTGCCACAGTGAGACACACACTTGTGCTTGTGAGATGTGTATAGTGTGAAGATGTCATGATGTGATCGTTCATTAATGGGAGGTTCTCCTATGCATGTTCAACAGATGCGCTATTCTGACCTCATATTTGCCTAACAAATTGAGCCACATGTCATGGCTTGTTTTCTTTGATAAGGATATTAGGAGAGTTCTAATACAGCTAAGCTTTTCCTTTACAAGACAGCTTGCTCTACAGGAATAGTAGTTGTTTCACGATGCCTCATATGCTTGGTGCATCTGCCTTGCCAAGTTTCGTGATGTTCTGCAAAAACATGTCAACTTCTCATCCACTCCCAGGTGATTAATCAGTGATTAAAGAATAAAACTCAATGTGCATTGTTGCAGGAAAGCAAACGATAATGCCTTATGAATATAATCACTATTTTGGATTTGCCTTTTATGATTGTGAATAGTTGACATCAAACAACATTTTTTTTATCAACACATTTTTTTTTAAATTCAAATCGATTTGATCTAAGATTGTCTAAGTTCCAGATAAAATGAGACAATTTATTATTAAAAAAAATACAATTGTCAGAATTATAGGGCTCACAGAGAAAATATCATTGAGTGATAATAAATATTTAAGATGAGGGTGAAAATGCTATCTCAAATATGTCAGATCACTAGGCCTGTTTCAGTGGTTAGGGTTGGTGTACAATACATCTAGCATAAAGAAAAACTCCAAACAACTGAAATAACAAATATTAAATGTGTGCTAGCAGTGCATGTATTATTTACAAACTACAGTACTGTTGATTTAACAGCATGATTTGTTCAAACTGAGTGGTTTGGCTGAAGTATTTGATCCACACTCAATGTATTTCATTAGTAAACATTAGTTAACTATGTTAGTTAACATGAACCAATAATGAACTTAACACTTATTCATCTTTGTTAATGTTAATTTCAACATTTACTAACTAGTACATTATTAAAAATCAGCACTGTAACAAGAACAAACAATGAACAACTTGATTTATATTAACTAATATTAACAAAGATGAACAAATACAGTAACAAATGTATTGCTCATGGTTAGTTCATGTTAAATAACACACTAATGTTAACAATGAGACCTTATTGTAAAATGTTACTGTAAAAAAATATTGTTGGTTTAACTTAAGAAATGAAGTAACCTGGTTGCTTAAAAATTAAGTTCATTGAACTGGAAAAATTGAGTTAATACAATGAAGGAGATTGATTTAAGCATCAGAAACTCTATCATCATGGATGGATCATCAATCATTGGATCATCAAAAACTATCTGAACTGCATAAATTATTTAAGTTGATATGAAAAAAGAAAAAAAATGTGATTACAAATCATGAAAATATCTTTTACAGTGTATGCCCCTCCTTTCCAAAATGCATTTCAGGGGTCAAATATTGCCCAGGTATTAAAGAGTCAACCTGTGAAAATCAAAACTGGGGGTTCCAATCTCTCCCAATCGGTTCCTTCAGATGGCCAAACTGGTGGAATCGTCTGGAGATGGATTGTAAAGTTATTCAAGTGCAAGTTCACAAATTGGCTGACATTTCATATGTACGAAATGTCTCTTTTTGATAAGGCAGATTTTTGGGTAACTTATAGGCTACAAGTCCCTCGCAGGAACTGCACAGTCTGTACATATATAGTTCCTTCAATGACCTTATTAGGAAGGCTTCCGATATATTATATATATATATATAAGTTCCTTAACTTCATGTACAAAATAGGACATTTTAAGACACCTTCAAACAAAGTAAGGCATGCTGATGTTTTTGTGTGTGATGTATTATGTACAGTACTTTTTACATCAAGCAGAGATACAACATCTAATTGGTTGAATCAAGACACTGGTTGAATACACAGTTCTGTATGTATCATGTCCTACTGTGGTGTTACAGATATGCGGTGTGACATACAAAATATGTTTAGTCCAATTTGACCAATGTACTAAATAATACTCAATACCAATCTGTGGCATATGATCACAATGCTTTTAACATGCCACTGACAACATTTTTTATCACGCAATATGAATAATGAATGTGGGTCTTTGAAAAAGTGCTATTTTATGAAGAAATTATGAGGCAAAACTCACAGATGATCTTCTGTTGTCTTTATGGGAAAAAAAAGAAAGAAATTCTGGTTGAACAAAGAGTGTTTCACCACAAAAGCATTCAAATGTTGTTCAAACCTTGAAATATAGTGATACACTATGTAGTGATTTCCTGGACATAATTTATGCATTATTTATGCATAATTATGCATCTGGACATAATCAACACATGTGGACAAATTTTGTACTGTAATGTTATTAAGCAGCTTTAAATATGTAAATTTTAAGCTCATTTAATAGTGAAGTGCAAACAGAGATGCTGTAACGTCTGAACAATATGAGCATCTTGATGTTTCGCTCAGAATCCTGAATAGAAATGTGCAAGCACAGATCCACGAATACACTTGAAAAGCATACCATGTCAACACACACGCCACACCTGACTGAGGGAGAGGAGAAAGCTCCTGTTTCTGTATTGTGAATGTCATCAGATCGGCTCTTATGCTCATGTGCATGGCCTTGTCCCTCACAAAGCTTGAATTGTTAGTGTTTTCTGGATCCAGTTTCGAGCAATTGCATTACAGCTGGAATGTGCAGATTCACTCTTAAACCCAAAACAATGGATTTCTCATGGTTCATTTGAAGCAACTGCATATTTCTGTCATCGATCTGGGAATGTAGCATTTTTAGACTTTCTCGGTTGCATCTGTAGTACATCTGTCATCAAGTTTAATTTGAAACGTGGTTTGGGATCTGAGGCTGCTATTTGCGTGCCTGTCAAAAGCACGCCACCACCAAAAATTCAGGAAGCAAGCTATGAGGCGTCTTGATCATTCTTGTTTATTTATTGGCTTAAGTATGTTAACAATAGAAAGAGGTGGGGAATTGTCTTGCATGAAGGAAACTTGTTTGAATACAGTCAGTGGTTCAGTTCTGTTTGGTGATATTAATGACACACCTCACGGATGTTCTGTAAATAACATAGTGCTATAATAAAACCATGTTAGAATAATATTACAAAGTCATCGGACGTATAAAATAACACAAATGTAAGTATGAGAGTTAGAAGTAAGAAAAAAAGTATGTCTTCTGGATATACAGGTTTCTGTTCACCAAGGCCATGCTCATTTGATCATAAATTCAGCAAAACTGTATTATTGTGGAATAATAATGCAATTTAAAGTAACTGTTGTCTGTTTGAATACATTTTAAAATGTATTTTATTCTGAGCTAAATTTCTAGCATCATTACTCCAGTCTTCAGTGTCACATGATCCTTCAGAAATCAGTCTAATATGATGATTTGCTGCTCAAGAAACATTTCTTAATAGTATCATCAATGTTGTGAATAGATTTGCTGCTTAATATTTGTAAGGAAACCATGATCATTTTTCTTGAACATGTGTGAATAAGTCAAAAACTCCAGTGTTAAATTAACTTTCCTAAGACTCAAGAGTGTTAAAGTGTTAAAATGAGTGTTAAATCCACACTCAGTAGTGTTAAAATTAATGAGCTAATTAAGTGATTGATTGAGCGATGATTGACCATTGTGGATTCTGCTTGTTAACATCCGGTGTCTTCAATAAAGGAGAAATAAAAATCACATATTAGTCACCAATATGGTGATCACTATTTGCTTTAGTTTGGCTCTTGATCCTTGAACTTTTAAAGTTAGATTTAGTTTGGCTAAACCCCCGACTTTCCACCTCTTCGAATCTTGATAGGGACTTGAAACTTGAGCATGTGACTTACTCCCATCTCTGTTTTTTTTGTGTGGTTGTTTGATGAACAAAGTTCAGAAACACCAGAATTTATTTGAAATTGAAATCTTTTGTAACATTATAAATTTGTCTTTACTCACTATTGATTAATTTAATGAATTCTTGCTGAATGAAAAAAGTCATGTTGCCTCTTGTAACTTTCCTCTGTGGATCACAATACAAGACACATTGCACAACGACTAGTATCAGAACTTCAGCCAAAAACGGCTAAAAGGCCCTTCATACAACTGTATGCAGTATATTGCAAGTTTTCTGAAGTCACATCGGAAAAAAAAGATTGATTTGCTGAGCATCTCCTGCT